TTTTTTGGACATTTTGAGCTCCGATAGCTCAAAAAATTCAGGACAGATTTTAACGAAATTTTGTGATTTATTTGTGACTATAAGGTACTTCTAAAATAACAAAAAATATTTATTTATTTTGCGATAGATTTTGAGCTACGCTGTTTTGAAATCGGTGAAATTTTCAAAAAATTCATTTTTTTCTAGATTTTTTGTTCAAAATATCCTTTGATTCGAGACAATAACATTTATTTTTTTGTTATTACATTGTTTCACTGATATGCACAAAAAATTTCATCAAGATATGTTGGCTAGTTCAAGAGATATAGCGTTCTACGTAGGTACAAGTTTTGAAAAAAATCGCTCAAAAATTTGAGGATGCTGTCACAAAAATCTTCATAACTTGAAAAATAATTGAAATTTTTTTATAAAAATTTTATTTTGTCGATGAAATACATTGAGGTACTTACTGTTCAAATTTTAAAAAAATCGGAGATGGTCGGGCGTGGACTTTTTTTTAAATCGTTCAAGTTGACGGAGAATGACCCATGTATATATGAATACCTGTTAGCTGCTACTTAAACAGCATATAATATATAACATAATATAGCATATAAGCTTATAATAACATGCATACATACATGTCAGCTGCTACCATGGAATTATATAACTGGAAGCGTCCTACCAGCGTTTTAACATTGAAAATTTTTTTCAACGGACAGTTTCCTCTGGAAGCAAGTTCCTAAAAATTAATCATTCATGAGCATTTTGATTTATTTTTAGAAAAATCTGAGATATAATTAGAATAAATCTTGGCCTTCCCGAAGTTATGTTAATGGCTCTTTGCCGATCTGCATTCAGATCGTTTGTTAAAATTTATTTCGTTTTCAACATTCCGTGAAGTTTTTGGTTTTATAAGGTGCCGTATTTAATCGTTAAATAGATATTGCCATTTTTTTGATGCATCAGAAAAATCGAAGATTTATAATAAGTTTGTTAGCGATCCTCATTTTCCTGAAATAAAGATTTCTTCATTCATTTTCCCAGCACCCACGAATCACGATGAAAGTAGAGTAAGAATCATCCCTAAATTAAATTAAAAAGAAAACGAAAAGAAGTCGGTAAAAATTTTATTGTAAAAATGAAATGTTATTAATATTTAAAGAATATAACTCATAATCAATTTATAATTTATATTGTTATAAATAAATAAATTAATCAACTAATAATTTTTAAATTAAGATGTAATTCCTGTGCATATGTCGACCTAAACTAGAATCTTTCAACACTCCAACACTCCAAAGCTTACAATACAAACTACAAAGGAATACTTGCTTTCAACATAACATACCCAAACCAAATTTAATCACACAGAGGTTTTTAAAATTTCTTTTGGTAGTAAAAGCAAACAATCTTTTTTTCTGTTTTAACTTTAAATGCTATGATTTATATATAATTTATTAATATATTAAATTAATTATATAATAATTTGTTAAAATCAAATTCATTAACTTAACTATTTCAACTGTAATTGACATTAATATATTAAAAAAATAATAGTTTAATTAATATTGAGCTAACATGAAATTAATTATGCTATTGATTTAAATTTTATAAAACGAACAACTGTTGATTTTTAATAGAATAGGTATGTGATGTTTAATAATTTTTAGTTTAACATTACTATTTATAAAATAACCCTGAAGGTACTAGATCATGAGCATGTATATTTTTATATTTGTGTAAATTGTTATATTTTTTGCTTGTTGATTATAAAACATCTATCTTGCTATAATTAGTAACTTAACTCGAAGTTAGATCAGTCCTACTTTTTTTATTTCTGGATTTCGGTTTTGTTTATTTGTTGTATAACTGCAAAATGTTTGATTTACATAATTATAAATTTATCTTTCAACTATCTTGAAAAGTGAAATATATATATATATATATATATATATATATATATAAAGATAAAACTAAGGTTGTAGAATTTGCTTCTGATGTAATCTATTAGAAGCACTGTACAAATTCAATAAAACAATTGATTTAATAAATTTAAATAGTATAATTTTCGTTGCATTTTATTATTTAATTTACTTTTATTAAAACTGCATGTTGATAGAAAACTCTTTAGTTAAGTTAAAACGTCTTAATGTTGTACATGATGTTATTATTTTTTTTATTAATTCATATTAGTGGTTTGCATTCTGTACATAATTGAAATGATTTTCCATGTTAAATAAATCTTCGTTGACACATTGTGGGAGTATGTTGCTTTCAATTCCAAGTTTTTTCTTAAAATAATAATTATTTATTTTTAAAAATCTTTCTGATTCTTGGCAGACCTGAAAATCATTAAAATTTATTGTTTTTACCAGAAAATAAATAAATGTATCGTTTTACTTTTAATACTCCTTTCGAGGAATATGTCAATTGTCCAAGCCAATTATGCACATTTTTCTGAAATTATTTGTAATTAAGTTTAGATATTGAGATATATAAAAAAACCTTTGAGTTTTGTAAATGTAACACCATCTAAATTTTTCAAACTTAGTAAGTAGGCTTTCATTTCATAAAGTTTATCTATAGTGGTTGTCAGGTTGCTCTTTGTAACGGATTGCTTCCATTCTCTATCTAGTATCAGTTTGCTATTCAATATATGGAAAAGATCATTGATGTTTTTCACAAGAGCTATTGTTTCATAAACGTCAGAAAAAAACATAAAATCCGTTTAAGAGTTCCAATGATTTAGCCGCAGAGCAACTAAAGACTCAAGATGCATATTTAATTTTCATCTTATGCTTTTCAAAATTTACACGATTTTTGGTTAATTTATTTTTTAGTTTCATTTTGATTTGTTGCTGATAATTAACTAAGTTTACGATATGATTCAATTTCATTGATTATTATAAAATATCATATAAGAATGAATTCATTAATTTCAGCATGTGGCATGCATCAAATATGATATATATTTTCTGGCCGGTTGTTGGGGACAAGAAACTTGTTTGCATGTTTGGAAATGTGAAAGAGCATCCAAGCAATCCACATGCTATAAAAATTTTAACATCTTTAAGAAAAACAAATGTTGTTTACCCTAACTCCAGCATTATGTAACTTATCAATGGTTTTCTCTATAAAATCTATCAACTTGTGAGATGATAATTTATTTGTATAAAAATAAGCTATTGAATGTCTCCAAGCTTCTCTCAGACCAACAACATAAAAAACCCAACACCTCTGAAGCAACTATGTCCTCATTCCCATCTTCAAAGTTAACATATCCAATAAAGTCATCTTCACAAATAAACAATGCGTTTGATAATTTATGCTTAACATTTAACATCAATAAAATTAAAAAAATTGAAGACAAATGTTTATGGTGAAATGGGAAACAAAAAAAATCAAGAAATAAATAAAATACACAAGGATTTTACATAATTCAGTTAAATTATTAAGTTGAAAATCGATTAAGACTGCCGTAGAATGATTTTAGCAGCAAAAAAACGTTTACAAGAATGCCGCCGGTGGCACATTAACAGGGAAGAAGCTAAATATAGATTGGAAAATTGAAAAATCCATTGACAATTTGATGCTAAAATAGTTTGCTTCCAAGTTTCCTGACCTTGAGAAGAAGGTCAACACTATAAAGCCATTCTATGAGACTGAATTTAGCCACAATGACCGACCTATATAATTTTATAAACAATCTTCGATGCCAATTATACACACGTTAAAATGTCAATTATACACACGTTAAAAAGAGATAAACGTAAAAGAAAGAGGGTACAGCAAACCTTCAAGCATATGCGTTATATTATGTTATATGATATATGCTGTTTAAGTAGCAGCTGACATGTATTCATGTTATTATAAGCTTATATGCTATATTATGTTATATGCTGTTTAAGTGGCAGCTAACGGGTATGCATATATACATGTATATATAATTATATAGTTATATATCGATGCTATAAAAATATATAATACTGTAGTTGTGTGTATTTGATAATCTTATTAATTTCTATTATTTATTAGTAAATAAAATTTTGTGTGGTGTAAATATTAGATAATAATTATTATTTTTCTGCTGTATTTGTAGAAAAATATACACAATGAACACACAATGCATTTTTTTAAATCAATAACGATAGTTAACAGTTATAGAAACTCAATTCTATTTGTTAATCATTAGCAATAAATAAATAATTTGAAAAATTTATATCAACTACATATATTTAAAAATAGGGATGCACCGAAGTTCGGCCCCGGCTAAAATCCGGCTTTTTTTCAAATCCGGCCCCGGCCGGATTTGGTGGCCGAATTTAAGCGTCTATCATCATTTAAAAACGTTATAAATAGAAAATTTTTTTATTGAATTCAATTAATTTTATGTCAATAAGTTAAAGGCAAAGCATATATGACACATAATAACAACATCACTAATTGTGAGGTGACTGGTCAATTTTCTTTATGCTATAACACGGGTTATGCATAAATTATAAGCTGATCTTTGTGTACAGAATTTGGTATATCACACAACTTATTTATATATTTGATTTAATTAACCATTTGCTTGGTGTTATTTTTTGATGTTCAACATGTAGATAACCGTAAATGTGAGTATTTCGGAATTTCGTCGGAATTTCCATCGTGTTAAATCCTTTCAAAACAGCCTCAATAAGTGCCATAGAAAAATCGGTTACAACATTCGAATACAAAGGCCATTCTTTCAATTTTTTGAGACGTAGTGCTTATAGTCAATAAGTACCTACTTGACTTATGTGATCCACGTCGTGCCTACATGTTACAAAGTCGATCTTTGGAATTTTTCTATTATCTACTAAAATAACACCAGAGTAATAAAAAATTCTCTTCTGCTTTGAGCTGGTCCTTCTTATCACCGATCCTGTCGAATCAAAATACAACACTGGCAATATGTTCTTTTTTTTGTTTCGTTTAGCAACTTCAACCTGTTTGTATGAATATGAAACGATGCAAAACGGCTCACTAACAGGTTGTATAAATCTATCACTATCTGAAGCAAGTAGTTCTTTTTTTAGCTTTATAATTACATCAAAAACGTCATCTTTATTCTCATCGTCAACACTCAATGACTCAGATCTAGCATTAGCTAAAACGTCATTTGAGTGAATTTGCATCATGTTACCTTGATGCACTGTTTTATCATCGGAGGCATTAATACAGTCTATTCGGACAAGTGACGGTAGCTTATTAGCCAGTTTTATTTATCTGTGATTTCTTTCTAAACCTCTCAATTGTCGTATTCCTTTTCCTACGTGAAAATAGTACTTTATGTTTGTTAAAATTTTACAATTAACCAATGAATCAGACGGGCTGGATGATTCTATTTGCAAATTTATTTATTTACAAACATACATACGTACGTACGTACATACATACTCACACACGCACACACACATATATAAACATATATTGGTATGAATGGAAAAATTATAAACTGTAATCATTGGTTCGGGCATAATGCATGCAGAACCAATGGCACCGCTCTCATCTAACCTAACGATGAACTACGTTGTGCGATTGGCTGCAATAAAAAGGGCACACATACACGAGCGCACACCGCTTAAAATTCAATACTAAAAAACATACATCGATGCTACTCAACTGAAAAAATAGGACAATCAAAAAAGCCCATTGAATAAAACGCACATAGACATAAACGAACATTGTTGAATTTGAAGTCAATTAAATTTATCATTGAATTAATTGTTAAAGATATCGTTGGGTTATTTTGTTAATTATTGACACATACAATACACACACAAACACAATACATACACAAACATAATACATACACAAACACACCCACGCATACACAGGCTAGAGGAACGTGTAATTTAATTTTTTTTTGATCCGTTTATTCGCAATAAAATAAAGTGAAAGATTCAGCCTAGCAATAAATGCTTATCTAGGGTTGACGTGTTATAATAATTTTTATAATGAAATAAAAGCGATGATGGCAGACCAATAGTACCGACCACCATGTCTGCGAGTAAAATTTAATTTTGCCCAGCGATATCTTTCTGTTTCAGTCGCTGTGATACGACGCACAATGAAATGTGTTAGTTTTTCGGGTTTTGAACACCCTGGAAGGCTGTTTTTTTCAGTGGCTGATATATTGTTAGAAAGGTAATTTAATTCTACATAAGTGGTAGAAATCTTTTTTTGAGGCCGCAATTATGAATGGTGAAAAAAAATGTTTTTGTGATTCGATGCACAATGTAAATGTTTTTGTTTTTCGAGTTTTGAACACCCTGGAAGGCTGTTTTTTTCAGTGGCTGATATATTGTTTGAAAGGTAATTTAATTCTACATCAGTGGTAGAAATCTTTTTTTGAGGTTGCAATTAATAATATTTTTAATCGATTTTTATGTTCAACTTACTGTCAATTTTTTTATGTTGTTCAATACATCATACAATCATTGTTCATACATGCGTTATTTAAATATATAGAATACATACTTTTCATACATTTCAATGATCAGTTAAAGATTTATATAGCTATGTAATTATTCGTAACATATATGTACATCTGCTGTGCATTAAGCAGATGGTCTTCTCTTTTTTCACGATCTCTCCGCGCACATAATATATAGGTCGGTCGTTGTGGCTGGTGGCTAAGTTCAGATTCATGTTTGTCCTGCCAGATCTTTCCTAACTAAATTTTAAACGTTATTATTATTCAGTTATTATTATTTATTTATAGCAAATTTTAGTTTGAGGTGTTTTAAATCAAATTTAAATAAAAAAACTAATTTCTTGCATTTTTAAATGCCTTCCTGTCACATTACGAAGAATTGAACTATTTATTATGTAAACTGAGTTTCGAAAACTTTTTATTACTAAATTAACTTTTAAACATCTTGCATTTAAAAGTGAAACCAAAAACAAGTAATCGATAATAGAGTTAAACTGTTAAACATTTAAATTAAATTGATATCTTTCTCTAATATCACGTAAAAACTTGTCAATCGAGTCAAGAAATCTGAACGCAAAAAGAAAAACGCGAGCAAGATGTCAAGATCTGTTGAGAGGTGTTTTATAATTTTTAATTAATAAAATTATTAATTAATTTTAAATTTTTTTAATTAGGTAATTATTAATTAAATAACGACTGTATTTATTTATTAATTAATTATAATTTAATTTATTAACTAAATAGTTAATAAGTTGAGTTATTTAGATTTAATTATTAATAAAATTGTTATTATAATAATGTTATATAATCTGTCTTAAGTATTACTATGTAATTAAAATTTGTAATTCAGTTGCAATTTTAATTAAATTAATGAGTAATTAATTGGGTGATTATATTTATTAATTGAATGATTCCTTATGAATTATGATCAAATGAATTTAATTTATTTAATTATCAAATTAATTACATTAAATTTTTTTAAACTAATCAAATAGATTTGAAGAATCATTTTGATTGTTAAGTTATTAAAATTTAATCTAACCATTAGATTTTAATGAATTGTCTAATACTAATACTAATTAATTAAGTTATTTTTATTAATGCTAATAACTGGTTAAGTAGATGGAATATGTGAATAAAATAATTAATTAATCTTATTTATTTATTTCATTTATTTATTTAATTATAATTTATCAAATTACAATTCTTTATTTTCCAGAGTTGTTCATTTCGATCTTAAAGGTGCACCGCCAAAGATTGAATATTTTGATTGGGTTGGTTTTTCTCTCTCTCTTTCTTTTCCTCTCTCTTTCACTCACTCTCTCTCTCTCTCTCTCTCTTTCTCTCTCCTTCTCTCTATCTCTTTTTCATATCATTAATTTATCCATTCATTGATTTATCTATCATTTATTCATCCATTGGTTTATTTGTCATTCATTCACCTGTCATTGTTCATCAATCTATCATTCAATCATCCACACAACCATTGATTTATCCACCACACACCCACCATCACATAACCACACCCACCATCCATTGGTTTATCTATCATTCGTTCATCCATCCGTCCATCTATCCACACATCTATTGATTTATCCAACACACGTCCATCCATCCATCATCCATTTATCCATCTATCCATCCATCGTTCATTCATCCACACATTCATCGGTTTATCCATCACACACATCCATCTAACTATCATCTAATCCCACCCACCACCCATTGGTTTATCCATCACACATTTATCCATCCATCCATCATCCATCCACACATTCACTGGTTTATCTCTCACACATCAACCACACATTCATTGGTTTTTACTCCCACACATCCACCACACATCTCCCACACATCCACCATCTATTCACACCCACACCGCCCACAACTCAGTTGTTTCCAATGTTAAAGAGGTGGGGTGCCACCGGGGTGCTGATGGAGTATGAGGACATGTTCCCCTACAATGGCAAGTGGAGTGTTCTCAGGCAACCGCATGCTTATGGGTTTTGTTATTCATATTATTATTATTTTTATTATTATTGTTATTATTATTTTTATTATTTTTATTATTATTATTACTGCTATTTTAGTTGCTGTTATTTGTTTGATGGATTTTATGTTGAATGGTCAGTCTCGAAGATGTCAGACACATCGAAGAGGTGGCTGGCCGCAACGACCTCCACATCATACCACTCATTCAGACGTTTGGACATTTAGAGGTTGGTCTGGTCGTGATGATGGTGATCGCCTATTGACTGATTGATTAGTTGATTGACTGATTGATTGGTTGATCGATTGGTTAGTTGGTTGGTTGATTGATTGATTGATTGATTGATCGATCGATCGATTGATTGATGAAACCGACCTACCAACCAACCAACCAACCATCCACCAAGTTCTTATTGAAGCATGATGTTTGTGCCTCCATCCGAGAAGTTCCCTCCTCACCCCAGGCACTCTGCCCCCTTAATGAACGTGGGTGATGGTGACGATGATGACGGTGATGATAGTAATAGTGATGATGATGATGGTGATGATTATTGTAATGTGGTTCATAAGGAAGCTCCTACAGTCTGTTGAGATGCATGAATCTTACCACAAAATTTTTCAATTAATTCGTTCGTCCATCTGTTGAATTAAATGTGACAAAAAAAGTTGAACAACTAAAATTGAATTTTTGGACAGAATCAATTGTTGTGGTGGGGGAGTTGATGCAACAAGTCATATCTGCACACCGACACATAAAATATTTTCATATTGGGGCTGATGAGGTTGGTCGGATGGTTGGTTGGCTGGTTGGTTGACTGGTTGGTTAGATGGTTGATTGGTTGGCTGGTTGATTGGTCGGTCGGTCGGATGGTTGGTTGAATGGTTGGTTGGTTTGTTGGCTGGTTGGTTGGTTTGTTGGTTGGTTGGTTGGATGGTTGATTAGTTGGCTGGTTGGTTGGTTGGTTGGCTGGTAGAGTGGCTTGATTAAATGCAGATGGTTTGTTGTTTAAATGGTCAGATTGATTGATTGGTTGGTTTTTATTCGTTTGTTTTTTACATGGTTGAATGACTAAAAAGGATTACTTAATTTGTTATTAGATGGTTTCCCAATCAATCAATCCAATCATTCAATCAATCAATCATTCATTCAATCAATCAATCAATCAATCAACTCATCAATCAATCAATCGTTCAACCAATCAATCGTTCAATCATTCAATTAATCAATCAATCACCCACTCACCCACCAATCATCTAACAGGTCAACTTAGGTCACTGCCCCCGATGTAGACAGACAGGCGACACGACCACACTCTTCTTCCACCATGTCAGACGCGTCCTCAACTACCTGACCCAGTTCCGACCCGACCTACATATCATCATGTGGGATGACATGTTCAGGGAGGTCGATGTTCTCATACTAGAAGGTGGTTGCCGCTTTGTTTGTGGTGTTGGTGATGGTGGTTTAGGGTAGGGGTGTTAGTGGTTTGTGCTGGTGGTGGCTTGTGGTGGTTTGACACAACTACACGTTTAGCAATTTCATTGAATTGAATGAATGAGTGAATTGGTGAATAAATGAATAAATTAGTGAATGAGTGAATGAATGAATGAGTTAGTGAATGAGTTAGTGAATGAATGAATTAATGAATGAGTGAATGATTATTAGAATTTTTTTATATTTCACTTGACCAAACGGTCGGTGACTACCATTTGTTGAAATAATTAATGAAAAACAATCAAACTAAACTAACAACAGAGCAAAGAAATTGTTGCAAGCGTGTTGCTGTGTTGTTGTGGTTGTTGTTGTGGTTGTTGTTGTCTGAGAAATTTAATCAATTGAGAGAGGCTAAGTATATGAATAAATACCATTTGAGTGGATATTTTCAAATTGTATACAACCAATCAATCAATTAATCAATCAATTAATTATTTAATCAATCAATTAATTAATTAATCAATTAACTGCGGTGTTGTTGTGGCTTGCAGCTGCGGGCATCGGCGACTTGGTGCAGCCAATGGTCTGGATGTACACGCCACAGCTACACTTTCCCGAAGGTTCGATCGGGGTTGACTTATTATTGTTATTATTATTATTGTTATTATTATTGTTATTATTATTGTTATTATTATTCTTTCAATATTATTTTATTATTATTGTTGTTGTTGTGGTTGTGCATGAGTGTCCATTCAGTAGCAGATGTCTTATTATTTATTATCACTATTATTATTAATAATATAATGATAATATATAATTAATAATAATGATAATAATGATAATAATAATAATAAATTATTATTATGTGCACGAGTGTCCATTCAGTGGCAGATGTCTTATTATTTATTATCACTATTATTATTAATAATAGTAATTTATTTTATTAATAAAAATAGTAATTTATTATTATTATTATCATTATTATCATTATTATTGTCTCACTCTTCATGATCATCATCATTCTTAATTTTCTCGTTGCCATCAACACCATCAGCACTACCACCAATGCTAACAATTTCTGCCATCATCATCATCATCATCGTCGTCGTCATCATCATCGTCATTATCATCATGACCAGGCATGTGGGAGAGGTACATGAAGGTGTTCAGCAAGTTGTGGGTGGCCAGTGCGTTCAAGGGTGCCTCAGGGGTGAACCAGCGTGCCACACCGATCTCCCACCACATCGAGAACAACAAGGGCTGGCTGTTCGTCGTTCATCAGCTGTTCTTTGGTGGTGGTGGCGGTGGTGGTAGTGGTGGTGTTGGTGGTGGTACTAGTGTGGCAAAAAACGGTGGAGGTGATGGAATTGTTGGTGCCGTTGATGGGGACAACAATGGTGATTTAGAGGTGAATGGTACCGAGAAGATGGAGTTTGGTGAGGAGCAGGGCGTCAGCTGCAAGTTTGTCGGCTACGCCATCACCGGCTGGTCAAGGTGGAGGAATTTTTTTCAGTTGTTTGCTCTTCTTCGTGCTGTTAATTACCTTATTATGAGTTGTTAGGTTAGGTTCTTGCTATCCATTGTTATGCTTATCACCCTGTAGCGTCATCAAATTTTTGAGAAAGTTCAACTGCAAAGTTAAATACGTCATCAGTATTCCAACAACACAAAATCCCCTCAACCAAAATCTCTTCAGTCAAATTTACGATGTGACTGTTTAACAATGCAGCGACCTGCCAGAACAACTAATCAGTTTCGCGTGCACAACATTTGACTGGCGGGCTAGCTGAGGCGGTAGGAGTTTCATGTTCACCTCGTTGCCATTGCTGGCTGACCTGGTTCGAATGAGGCCTCTGCAAAACTATCAACTGCCTCGTAAATACAGTGCTGTGATTGTGAATACGTACGGAGTATTTAAGTACCCCTGTGGTGTGCTGTTCGTCGTGTGGTGTGTGTGTGTGTGTGTGTGTGTGTGTGGCTGGCGCAAAAGTTTAATTTTAAATAAAGTAGTCAGGAAGAAGTTATAAGTGGCTATGCATTACATACAACAACAACAACAACAACAGGTACGATCATTACCAGATGTTGTGTGAGTTGTTGCCTGTTGGTCTGCCCTCTCTTGCCCTCTGCCTCCTCACCCTCACCCACGGTACTGTTCATGATGGTGTGATGATGTATGTGTGTGTGTGTGTGTTGCTGATTTGTTTGTTTGTGTGTGTGTGTGTTGCTGATATGTGGTGTGGTGGTGATGGACGATGTGATGATGCATAATAATAATTAATAATGATGATGGTGTTGGATGTTGATCTGCCTCCTCCGAGATGATGATGATGATGATGATGACGTCATGTGATGATGTTAAGGACGGTGATACGATGAAGATGCTTGCTGGCATGTAATTAAAAGAGGCCTGCTGATGTTGCCAATTGTGACGACGACGATGATGAGGATATAATGATGATGATGATGTGGTGATGGTTATGATGATGATATAATAATGATGACGATGATGATGTGGTAATGGTTATGATGATGATGTAATAATGATGATGATGATGATATGGTGATGGTTATGATGATGATGTAATAATGATGATGATGATGATGATGTGGTAATGGTTATGATGATGATGTAATAATGATGATGATGATGATGATGTGGTAATGGTTATGATGATGATGTAATAATGATGATGATGATGATGTGGTAATGGTTATGATGATGATGTAATAATGATGATGATGATGATGATGTGGTAATGGTTATGATGATGATGATGACAATTCCAGAAGCCTTCACCAAAGAGGTTCACCAGATGGCCAGCCAGGACCTTAAGTTTGATGGCCTCATTCAAATGTGTCCATTTTCTAGGCCGGTGTTGATTAAATTAAATTAAATTATTAAATAATTCGACGGTAATTCTAAACATTTCAAATGAAAAATAATAACGGGGTATTTACTTGCCAGTAAATTTAATTACCAGTAACTTTTACTTACCAGTATTTATATAGCTCCTTTTTTGAGTTTTTTTTTCTCTTGAGAAGATGACTGACCAATTACTAAAAGTTTGGAGTGCGAAAGTTCATTCTGGAAAGTCCGACCTATAAGATTTGGCGCGGAAACAACGTGTAAACCACGTCTCCATCCACCAGTAGCATGTTACGGATGGATGCAGAGAAACATTCCACGATGAAATATCATGCTACTCCATTTGTTTAAAAGCAGATGGCCCCTGCTTTGAACTAAGCTATATATGAACTTTTCACGAGTGTTAAAATTTTACAATTTTAACCTTACAGACCTCCATAATTTATAATATTTAATATAATATAATTAATAATGGTAAATAATAATAATATTATACATTTATAATAATAGTTAATAATAATAACTAATTATTAATGTGGTGAATAAATTGATATGTCCCGTTTTAACAGTTGCCAGGAGAAGATCGTGTGCGACTTCCCGGGTTCGAAACTCTTCATCCGCATGCACGAGTACATCTATACTAGGAATCTATACTGTGATATCCGAGATGATGAAGAGTAGTTGATGATGGAGTTGAGGATGGTGATGGGGTTGATGGTGGTGATGGAGTTGATGATGATGATGGAGTTGAGGATGGTGATGGAGTTGATGATTGTGATGGAGTTGAGGATGGTGATGGAGTTGATGATTGTGATGGAGTTGATGATGTTGATGGGGTTGATGATGGTGATGGAGTTGATGATGATGATGATGGAGTTGATGATGGTGATGGAGTTGATGATGATGATGATGATGATGATGATTGTGGTCGTGACTTTGAGAAAAACATGGTCATTTAAATATTTTAAATATCGCAATTGTTAACGGTTTTACGTCGTTTCATTACTTTAAAATGGTGTTTTGTAATTTTTATTAAATTTTGGTAAGCATTATATAAGACACGAATTCCTGCTTGTTTTGAGGGTCTTGTGTCTTTGCTTTACGTATTTGAGGCTAATTTGAATTTGATTGATGATTGGTTTGTGCGTGTGTTTGGTTTGAAAGTGTGGTTTTTTTTGTTTCATATACACACACACCCACACACACATATACTCACACACAGACACTCAAACACACAGACACTCAAACATACACTCACACACGCACACATTCAATTCAGTTTCTACAAGTGGTCCAACCCAGCTTTATGTAGATATACAGTGGATGAGATAAAATCATTGTCTGAGAAGATTCATGTGTAAGTCGTTTGTTCTCTTATCATTCTCCACCACATTTTATAGTTTGTTCGTCGGTTCGATTGTTCTTTCGTTCGTTTGTTCTTTCGTTCGTTCGTTCGTTTGTTCTTTCGTTCGTTCGTTCGTTTGTTCATTTGTTTGTTCGTTCGTTTGTTTTTTGCTTGTTTGCTTGCTTGTTTGATTGTTTTTGAGTTTTGTCATCTGATGCTATTTTTTAAATTGTTTTTTCTTTCTTACATTACATCACGTGCTGGTATTGGTGGTCTCATTGTATTCGAACTTGATCACTGCGTCACGGAGCAGCAGACCTTCTAATCATCCCATCATCATCACATCTCGGTCATGAACATCCCTAACATCATCATCATCACAATCATCATCACTTTTATTATCACAATCATCATCACAATCATCATCACAATCATCATCACATTTATCATCACAATCATCATCACAATCATCATCATTATCGTAACCACGTGACCAGTTTATTGTCGACATTGGACGAGCTGAAGATGAAGATGCATGATAACATGATGGAGGTCTTCCAGGAAAGAACTTGTCGCGAGTGGCTAGAGGACAACATCAGAGCGCTCTATCTCCAGATGAGTCAACAATATTCACTGGTAAATTTGTTGTTATTATCCAGTTTATTATGCAGTATCTTTCATCAAATTTTTGTTATCTGTTTGTTGCCAAAATTTGTGTAGGTAATTGATTTCAAGTTCTTTACTTGTTTTGGTAACTTTATTCATTTTTTCAATGTTTTAATTTCAAATTTGATTATAATATAAATGTCAAAAAACTGATTTCATTGCAATGTACAGATGATGCAGTACCTCGTGGAGAACGGCGCAACTGGCCCAGAATCGCCAAAACCACCATCGCTACTACATTAACGTTCACCACAGCCGCGACAGCTACCACCGTTGCTACTACAACAACACAATCACCACCACAACAACAGAAACCGCTCCACAACATCCTGGGTTATACTGTTGAAACATCTGAGAATTTTATTTTATGATTTTTTTTTATTATCTCCATATTACTTTATATTATTTCGGAAGATGGTAAGGATGATGCTACTGATGATGAAAGTCATGGTGAAGAAGAGGATGGCGATGGATGATGGTGATGACGAAGATGATGATGATGGTGATGACGAAGAAGATGATGATTCGGAATGAATGTAGTGTTGGCGATGGATGATGATGATGACGAAGATGATGATGATGATTCGGAATGAATGTAGTGTTAGTGATGATGATGATACTGACGTTGATAATGAGAAAAATAGGTTAGACGATAGTAGCTAACGGGGTTTTTAATTTTGAAGATTGTTATTTATATGTACTGTACATACCATGGAATTATATAACTAGAAGCGCCCTACCAGCTTTTTAACATTGAAAATTTTTTCAACGGGCAAGTTACCTCTGGAAGCAAGTTCCTAAAAATTAATTATTCATGAGCATTTTGATTTATTTTTAGAAAAATCTGAGATATAATTAGAAAAAATCTTGGCCTTCCCGAAGTTATGTTAATGACTCTTTGTCGATCTGCATTCAGCTCGTTTGTTAAAATTTATTTCGTTTTCAACATTCCGTGAAGTTTTAGGTTTTATAAGGTGCCGTATTTAATCGTTAAATAGATATTGCCATTTTTTTGATGCATCAGAAAAATCGAAGATTTATAATAAGTTCGTTAGCGATCCTCATTTTTCTGAAATGAAGATTTCTTCATTCATTTTCCCAGCACCCACGAATCACGATGATTTGACATTTAGAGTAAGAATCATTCTTAAATTAAATTAGAATCTAGAAAACGAAAAGAAGCAGTGGCGGATCCATAGGGGGGGGGGGCGATCGCCCCCCCTACTGAAAAAAAAAATTTCTAGTCTATTTTTGTCAACTCTTTATTACTGTTTATAAGAAAGCATGCAATGTCATCAAAAACTTTCAACTTTTAATGTCATAAAATAATAAATGTAATGATTTGGATCAAACATAGTCAATATATACATATGAGTACATATATAAATATAAAAAAATTATTTTCTTTTTTTTAATCCTATAAGTGTTTTAAAAAATGGGTTTATTTATTTTATTAGACTAGCGAGGAACCTACTACCTTGATAGGTTGACTAATAACAATTTATAAAACGAATTCTATTTTACGATTTCCTGACTTCGCAAAACGCTCAATTATATTTTCAACATTTACTAAAACGTCTCTGTGTACATTAAGTAGTGCCAATCCGACTAATCTGTCTTCTGTCATTCGTGTTCTTAGCCATGTTTTAATTCTTCGCAGAGTTGAGAAGCTACGTTCAGCACTGGCAACACTAACTGGACATGCTTTAATAATACGGAACAACTTCTGAGTGATTGGATATTGTACGGGGTCACACAAATGAAAAACAACAGAAAGATCAGTAGTCAGTGATTTGACTCCTCCTCCGTCCTTGTTCATTCTAAAGCATTTGCTCTGCCACAATTCAACTTCC